GCATCAACTTGAACTTTTGTACCTAGGAATGAGGAGGGAAATTAGGTGCTTTAACAGTTATTAACGCTAACACTTATTATCTAAAAAAATAATTAGTGACACTTAGAAAAAAACAGTTGAAATCGCCAATAGCATAGACCAAGGGTTCTGATTCATCCGTTAAGTGGATAAATAGAATAGAAAAGATGGAATTTCAAGGTCCAAGGTTTAATTACTTGTGGAAGCCGCAGTAGTTTTTCGATTTCCCTCGCTTGTGAAAAGACGATAAAAAACATTTGTTTCTTTCACCGAAATTAAAACTTGCTATACCTCTGATTCTGATACATTCAACATACCATTAGATGGATCTGGTAGAGTGACGATAATCATGAGTACACTAAGATAACTCCTGAATAGGTTTAATACTCCAAACTCCATTTTCTGTAGCAGCTGCAAACTGAACTCACGCTGCGACTGAAAAGCGATAGGTATTGTGCTATTTGTATTGTGCGACTTTTCGGCAAAATTAGTGTAAACCAATACATAAAATATCCTTATGGCTAATTGTTTAGATAAACAGGTCTCGTATACAATCCATCAATCGAGAACCTGTAATGGAGAATATCAACGATTTTTATTGTCATTCAGTATTCTAACATATTCTTCCTAGTGGCCAGCAATCGTTTATGTTCAAACATAGAGATCCGTTTCATTCTTCCTCAACCCCTTTAATGTCCAAGCTTTAAACTCTTTATTTGTCAACTTATTATAATAATTTTAAAGTTCAAGCAACACCAGATCTTAAATTTCCTCTAACGTCATCTGTCAGATGGACAGAAGGACGCCAAATTCTGCCATATCATGCTCACAGTAACTGACAGGTGACTTTAAAACTTTTTTGAAAGAAGTCGTCTAATCCAAATTACTTTAAGAAGACAGTATCAGCTAGCAAAACTATTTGGTTATAGGGGTGAAATAAATCCGTTTTTAAGAATGCCTCACTGATATTTAGGTGTTTACAGTTCTTTCCCTGAGTTGTCGGCAGGTGTTTGAGCTTGTTTGAAAGACACGTAATGCTTAAACATGTTTAAAGTCTTTAAAGTTGTTTTGTTATACACAAAAGAAGCTGCCTAAACCGATATCATCGGTCGACTTCAAATGTAGAACATTGAAAATACAAGTTGGCGATTGCTTGAACTCCATGGAAAATTAAGCTTTTAAGTTCTCCGTTTCTGATTTTCATTCATTTGATAAATTAATGTTGAACAGTCCTTCACGTAACTTAGCTTTAGCGGCATCATCTGAACCGTGATTCTTTTACAAAACCAATATGACAGGCTTCTGACAGAACGTGATATCGCGGCGCATTTTCATTTCACTATGTTGTATTTCATGTCAATTTCTGTTTTCGTTTATGCTGATTTCTGTGACGAATTTCACTAAAATTTATCAAAATCAGCCATATTTGTTACTGCGTGCATTTCTGAACAAAAGTATAACGAGTAATGGTTAGAACTTGTCAATCAGTTTACGACACTGAGACTCTACTTGTAGCCTCATTCTTTTTTCATTTATAATCAGTTTATGCCGTTATGCAACCCAACATCAACACTCTTTCACTAAGCATAGTCATAATGCTAAGTATAGTATTTATATGCTAAAATGTTTGGCCGACCCTGCACTGTAGAATGAAGTAAGATGTTTCTGAATTCATAGCACTGACACGAGCAGCAGCCCTTGTTACGTAAAATAAGCATGCTGATAGTGATATTGATATCAATATTTTTGGAATAAAAATATTAAGCATAGATCTAAGGAAAGACTTAATTCTTGTTCGTTTAGCTTGAAAGGAGAATGTGTCTGAGTAAAATTAATTTAGCAGTCATATCAGAATGTGAACATAGATATTTAGCAGGTGAAATGGAAGGTTTTTAGTTGTTTTGTTAATATTTTCTGAGCTGAATATAGTTATAAATAATTCCAATCCCTATTTTGTTTAATATTCCGCTTACCGCGAACAATCACTTCTGATACTGTTGTCCGTTTTTCGCGTTGGATTTGATGCACAATTCCACAGGCTATGTTATAAAACAATTGGTTCATAATTTTATCTGTGCACTATTGGAAGTTTGGAAAGCACTCAAGAAGCTAGAGTTTTGTTCGGCACCGTTATTAAACGAGTATGCCTCCAAGGAAAGACAAAATTCATTCAGAAGTTAGTTTAAAAGAAGAACGTCTCTAAGTAAATTCACAATTGGTTCATGCTTTAGCGTGCACCATCGAGTTATGGAACACGTGGGAAGTTTGGAGAGCACGAAAGAAGTGTAGGAGTTTCCCGAGGCAATAGCCGAGAGCAACTCTAGCTTCTTTTCTTTTCGACGCGAAAAACGGACAACAATATCAGAAGTGATTGCTCGCGGTAAGCGGAATATTAAGCAAAAAAGGGATTGGTTTTATTTTTCTCCTTTTCCGTTGTTTTTCTTTTTTTCTGCCTCATTTACGAACTCTAACCCAAGGGAAAAGGTCGGAAAATTGTCTTCGTTTTGGGACTACTGGGCCCAGTCTCTGTTTGTATCCATTACTGTCGCGAAATACATTATTTTTCCCCGTGCTAACAATAACTGCTCGCGCAAAAAAAAGAATTCTGGCGAAGCAATTAATTTGCTCACGCTATCAGCGTGCACTATCACGATTTTGAGCACGCTTACGTATACTGAATTTGATTGCACGACTCTGCTAGCTATATTATAGATTAATTTAGCAGTCATTTCAGAATGTGAACGTAGATATTTAGCAGGTGAAACGGAGGTTTTTAGTTGTTTTGTTAATACTTGCTGAGCTGAAAAAAAGTTATTAATAATTCAAGTATTTTGTTCGCCACAGTTTTCAAATGTATGTCTTGCAGACAAGTTCCCGGAAAAATCCTTTCAATGTTGCGTTCTCACGTAAGAGGAGGGGGATGGGAGGGGAGAGGGTACTCGTCATATGCACTCGTCACGTGTTCATTAAACAGTAATGTAATTTCAATGGTCACCGCAAAATTCACACGTCACGAATCAATTTTTTGGCTTAATCACGGGTCACGTAGAGCCTTCCGCCACCCTTACAAAACTGTTCGGATGCAAGGAGTTCGCAATCTGTATTTCGCATTTTAGGGACTTTTTTTCATGGCAAATTAGATTACCTTAATTGTTAACATTCGCAGTGGCTTTTTATTTAAATGTACAATGAAACCCCGCCTTACCACGGACCACCTCGTTAATACGACCATTTGTTGATATACTCAATGATAATTTGGTCAAAACAGTTGGTCGATATCTTTTAAAGACAGGCATGCTTCCCAATAATCCCGCCTAATTCCTATCATTACATGCCTTCATAAGTATTGTAAGAAATAGACTACTTTTTTGAGAGACATGTTTCGGTATGCTTATGCCATCTTCAATCAATGAGTAACAGAACGTAAGTAATTATATAACAAAGTTGAAATGGTAAATTGGCCACCGTTACGATTATAAAAGCTGACGTTTCGAACGCATTCGCTCCGACGAAGGGCTAACGCTCGAAACGTCAGCTTTTATTATCGTAACGGTGGCCAATTTACAATTTCAACTTTGAGATAGAATAAATATATGAAAATCATATATTTTGAACGCAGCCCCAAACAGTTTCTTTAGAAACTATCAGCCTTTGTTTAATTATATAACAGACAAGTAGATGAATAAAATATTTACAGTATGATGTAATATAAAAGCGGGTACTAATTACAACGTGACATCAAACATCAAAGGTGTGAACTAAAACGCTAGAAATGTGTTATAATGCTGTAATTGTTTATTAAGTTCAGGTTTGATCTTATCTCTATAAAAAGCTTCTTTGAGTTTTAAATCAATTGAGTTGTTAGCAGAATCCAGAATACTAAAGCAAGAAAGGGAGTATTTGTTCTTACAAGAAGGAGATGTGTTGAAATGCTTAAAAATATGCGAGTTTTTCTACCTTCCTTGTGCTCCTTTATCCTAGTAGAGAAGTGGCGACTAGTTCCGCCAATAGAACGGGAAGTACATCCCGCACAAGAAAATTGATAAACTAGCATGGATATTAGAGCATCAGGAGTACGATCTTTAACACTGAACAGGTCTTTAATTTTAAAAGACGTGAAAACTAGTTTGATATTTAGGTCCGATTTACAAAAGCGCTTAGTGAGTTGTCGGAGTTTGAGGCTCGCTATTTTAGAATAATAGCCGACAAAAGGGAGTTTAAAGTAACGTGTATTATTGTCATCAACTTGAGTTCCGGCTATTTTGAGAGGAGGACCCGTCAAGATACCGCTTGAAAGGAAAAGAATTAAGTTTTAAAGTGTCGGAAAGTTTCTTAAGATCGTTTTCAAGGCCGGAATAGGTGTTGTTAATTTTGTAGATACGGTTAATAAGAGTTCGGATAAGGCCAATTTTGCAGCATGATGGAATAAAACTAAAGAAATTTGTTAGGAGACCAGTGTAGGTTTTTTTTATGAAAAACCGAAAAAACACAATCATTCGAAGAGTTGTCGCTAAATATATCAAGAAAGGAGAGTTTACTATCATTCTCTTTTTCGAAAGTGAATTTTATGTTGGGGTGCCGTGAATTAATGTAATCAAAAAATGGCATAGCATCCTGTTCATTGTGGAAGACACAATGTTTTCATGTACTTAATGATAAATCTAAATTCAAACTACTAGACAAAGATCCCACTATATTAAGAGAAGGCAGAATTAAACATTTCATTAGTTTACTCAAGAAAAAGCATTCTATTGATAATGATACCTATCATCAAGATTTTTCCCAAGGGTTCACAACCAGCAAAATGTTAGGGCCTTCCCAAATTACATAAGAAACGTGAAAATCACAATCAACCACCTCTCAGACCTATTGTATCTTCTATTAGAGCTTATAATTATAATTTAGCCAAGTATTTAAGTTCTCTACTTGCTCCACTTTTACCTCACAAGTATTCGGTCACAGATTCGTTCTCTTTTGTTGAAGAGCTCAGGAGTTTCGATCTTAACAACAAGTTTCTTATTTCCTTTGATGTTGAAAGTCTTTTTACCAATATTCCGTTGAATGAAACTATCGATATTGCTGTTGATCTTATTTTCAAGCATGACCCTAAATTTTCGATAAAAAATTCGACCTCAAGAAATTGTTTTCATTCGCTACAGCTGAGACTCATTTTCTCTTTAATGGAAGATTTTATGATCAAGTTGATGGGGCAGCGATGGGTTCTCCGTTAGCACCCATCCTAGCTAATCTTTTCCTTGGTTTCCGCGAGGAAACATGACTAAATAATTTAAACCATTCGACTCGCCTTCTACTTTATAGGCGTTATGTTGACGACACCTTCTGTGTCTTCCACAATGAACAGGATGCTATGTAATTTTTTGATTACATTAATTCGCGGC